CTCGCCGGTCGCTTCGCCCGCGGGAACTTCCCGCCGAGCAGCGCTCCGCGGCGCTGGCCTTAGAAAATAGTACATATACATGTATATATTAAAAATATATATATACACGGAGCGAGAGGGTAATTGGCCGCAGCGCTCTGTAAACTGTGCGTTTAAACAATGACAGAGTTTTTCCACTTCATTTGGCAAATTTTCCTCCCGCAGCCCACCCCTCCGTCAGTCTCCCCCCACGAGCGGCAGCGGGAAGGAGCGGTTCGGGGGCAGCGTCCCGCCCCGCGCACCAAGCCCAGCGACGGCCGGGGGTGGGGGAGCGGGGGGGTTAAACATCAACTTCCCAGACCGAGCTGCTTTTCCTCGAGCTGAGGTGGGCTTTTCCCCCCCTCTTCTTAAATAACGAGGGTGGTCCCAGCATACTCTATATCGAGACAGCTTTTCATCAGTTGCTCATCAGCATGCTAATTGCTGTATGACTAATTATGCCCTGAATTCCAGTTGATTTTCTTAATGAGACAGCTGGGTTAATTATGTAATCGTATGATTACATTAGCCTAGAGTGCCCTGGCGAAAAGTAACGCAGGCAGGAGCGTGATGTCATCGCAGGCGCAGCGCTCACAAGGGGGGGCATTCATTTCTGCCTAATGACAGGGGAGGGCAACGGTACCCACAGTGCTCTTTGTGTAAACACTTATATTGAATTATTAAGAACTGTGTCTTTTTCCAGCTCGCAGAATGAGGGAGGAATGGGGTTTTTTAAAACAAAACTCACTTTGGAAATTCAGCGGGTCATCGATAGTCCTGGTTTATCTCCTGGGCTGAGGTCGGGTTTGGTCTGAGCAACGTGGGGTCGCGGGTGGTGAGGTGCTGCCTCTAGCTTGTCATGGAATGCGCTGTTTTGGCAAGATCCGTCTTTGCGGTCCTTTTAAAATTGTTCCTAAAATATGTAGTTGACATGAATGCACAGCAGCAAAAAAAAAAAAAATAATCGGTTCTCTTGAGCTGCTGTTCAAGAAAGACCTATCATCAGGGCACGTATGGTGTGAGAAGAGTCTGAGAGGTGTTATTGCCGGCTGCGTTGCGCTAGCTGGTTTGATGCAAAGTATTAACTGCTAGAAAAATAATGTTACATTTACAGCATTAATTTTTTTCACGCCTGCGCTCATTGAGACATGTCCGTCCACCTCCTTTCTGAGGACAGAGGCTCCTCTGCAAGGGACCCGGCGTGGTGTGTCGCAGTGGCGAGCGCAGGGAGCTGCTTGTGCAACGGTCCCAAAAGGGCAATTCATTGGGAAGTAAAGGCAGGAACAGGCTTTGCGGATGCTGGTTTTAAAATACAGCAGTTACGATTTCTCGTATGGTAGCGTGGAGGAACCGTTATTGGGGACTGGATCCAGACATGCTGGGCTAGGTACAAACATGTGATGCAAAGGGCTTCTTCGTGGGTGTAGTATGCAACAAGTGGATTGGGAAACTAGAATGGAATAGGAAGCGATAGAAAAAAATACACTAAATTTAGCATAAAAATAGCCATCTCAGTTTACTCTTGGGCAATAATGATCTTGCTAAACACTTTTTAAAGTTCTGGATGAGCAGATTCCTTTTACCAATTTTCTCATTTCTTATTTATCTTGTGCCTAGCAGGGATTCTGAACTTTTGCAAGCTAGAGAAGAGTCAAACCAAGAGAATAATTTGTGATGAGTTTTCCACATTTAAGTGTTAAGTGAGGTGATTTTTCTCTTTCACAGATTACAGAAAAGGCCTTTCCTTCTTCACTTCCCTCCATAAGCGAGTACCACTTGATTATTTTTTTTTTTGAAACGTGTATGCCTGTTGTTTGTGTAATGAATCGAAAGTTTTGGTCCATTGCTTGTTTAAAAATTCAGTGACCTCCTGTTAAATGACATGAAACATACTTTGTAAGTCTGGTTAATAAAAAAGGTATGCTTTTTCATGCATGCATATGTCAGGAAAAGGAGAGTATTTTTATTTATTTTTAAATCCACTCCACTCAGGTAAGAAAAATGTCATTCTGACTGTAAGGTTCATGCTTGTTTCAGGGCAATTGGTGTTTATAAATACTTGAGAAATCACGGGGCTTTAGGGGTTTTTTGAGATTAAAGAGCATGTTGGGGCTTGCCATGAGAAATGAAGGATTTGTCTCTCTGCCCAAAATGTCGTGGTCATTTTATTGTCATGCAGTAGTTAGTTTTCCTTCATGCAGTTTATAAAAATGAAGTCTAAGAGGTGCTTCAGCCATGGAGTTTTTTTACATGTCCTTAAGCGGTATTTAGTGGCTGCAGGCCATTAGTCCTTCAAATAGGCTCTAGCGAAGTTTGAAGTTTAATGCACAGAGACTGTTTTTACATATTGTTTGTTCTGCCACTGTTTTGCTACTTGAACATTAACCTTTAATAGAGCTAAATTAAATATACATGTCCTGATGAATAATTATGAGATTGCAAGCATTTTCATTTTGTACATAAAGCTTCTCAGGGACTGCAAATTTGACTAAAGGTTTAGTCATTATTCTCTTTATAATGCTCGTGTTATTTTTGTCTTTTAATTCTTTACCGATTTAAATATAAAAAGCCCTGTGTATTTGGAGGAAAATACCTCTTGTGGGTGCCGTGGTTTTTTACAATGGGCATCTTAAAACGAGGGGGGGAAAGCGCACCCACAATTTTGTAAAGTTCAGTCTCTTTCATCGTGGCATTTTCACACAATTTTATAGAACTATCATAGCTGAAGCTTAAGATCCCTGCCTGATGCGTTTGGCGGTTCCTGTAACAATTTCAGATGCGGATAGATTGAGACAATCCAGCCTTTCTTTCTGTTCAGCAGATGAATGGCCTGGGCTAGCTCTTTCGGAGAAATGCTGAGCTGCAGGAGTGTGACAAAACGGTCATTCCAGATAAAGGTCGGCAGACCTACATGGGAGAAGGGTGATGTTGTGACAGCCCGTACCTTAATTGGACCGTACATAAATATTGCAGGGCCTTTAACTCGTGCTACTGCTGTGACTTAAACTTTATATTTAATTCCTTACCTGTACCCCCTGGCTCTGCCACAATAACATTTTAAGTTTGATTTATTATAAATATTTTAATACAGATAATAATAACGAAAAGTATTTGGCCTAAAAAGCATAAATGAAAAAGCTATGTAGTCATAAACTATGTATGTACAGAGAACAGATGACAAGCCACCTAGATTTTGTATTATGAACAGGGTAATGCCATAAGCTGTTGAAGAACCGAAGTAACAAAATGCAGCAGGCTGCTACTTATAATGTCTCCGAGCTCAACATAACCCAGTACTATTCTTTTATAAACTATGAAACAACGCTGGCATATTGAAAAAACACACAGGCTCATGCTTAATGTGTTAACAGAGGTACAATAGACTTATTATGTGTTTCCAGAGACTGAGGGTGGTCTGAAAAATTAATGACTGTAGTGGCTGAAAATTAAGTGAACTCCCTAATATATACTGTTGTTGATCCACTGAGTTTGGTGTTTAGCATTCCTCAACAGGAGACTAAATCTTTGCAGCCATTTCACAAGAGATGCTGGCGCCCATAACAGAAATGTATTCAATAATCTTCTATAAGTCCATCGGACTCCAGCGTTTGCCTATTCTGACTGGGAAGAAGTTCCAGAATAAATCACGCGTTCGCATGTCAGGTGTGTGCTAAGGACTCTATTTAGCAGAAGGGGACAAACATCAGAGAATTAATACTGAGAGGACATTCAAAATAATTTCTAATTTCTATTTGATTAGCAGTGTAAGAAAAAGAGGGAACAAGAGTCACCCAACCCAAGAGTCACGGAATTAATTACATCCATGCAATATTTCTGATTATTATTGATCTGTCAGTTAGAAAAAGTATAGCTTGGATCTCCATGATCAAATAACCTTTTTGAGCTCAGCTGTGCAGGAGGGCACAATTTGCTTCAGAAACAGAGGTATGTGAGGGACACAGTCAGAGCGCCATGCAGTTTGATTGCTTTTTATCCCAAAATTCTCATTTGGAAAACAAAAATTTGAAACTTAAGTCTCTCACATGCCTTCGTATCATGACTGTCTGCACCCAGAGGCGCTGCCCTGTGGATTAATGCCAGGACGAAGAAGGCACATCCCAATTTAAAGGGTAAATCAGATACAATGAACTATCTCTATTTTTTGAAGTTTGCAGGATACGAGGTGAGGAACATACAGGAATAATAACTCAAAGTAGGGCCTTACTTGCACTTAAAATGGATATTAATGGAAGAAAAAAGGACACTTGTGCTCTGAACTGTGTGAGTTGCAGAAGTGTTCCTGTTATCTTACGTTTTACTGTACTGTTTCTTTTTCAGATCCGGTTCCAGCCTTGGATTTAGGACAGCAGCTTCAGCTGAAGGTTCAACGTATGCACGATATTGAAACAGAGAACCAGAAACTTAGGGAAACTCTGGAGGAATACAATAAAGAATTCGCCGAGGTGAAAAATCAGGGTAGGTTGCAAATGTATTCGCTTATCAGCTTTTAATGCATACTGAAATTTGAAGACTGGGATTAAATTCAGTTTTATTTCTTACGGGTAGGGTTGACGGTAGCATTGAAATTCAGTGAAGAGAGTATAATAGTCTATTAGAGCCGCTTCTGTATTTATGTGTATAGGTATGACTTTGGGTAGACACTTTGGATTTCTTTAAAAGTTTTGTCTTCTGTCACACCAAGTCAGAGAATGGAGCTGAGAAGGATGCGAGGAGACCTGATTGCAGCCTTTCAGTACTTAAGGGGGGCCTGCTCACTGCAGGGGGGTTGGACTAGGTGACCTCTTAGGGGTCCCTTCCAACCCAAAACATTCAACGATTCTATATTCAGTTGCAGCCTTCAGTGCTACCTGCAAATTGCACGCCGACTGAGGTTGTATGTAGATGTTTTATGAGAGACAGTGCTACTGCTGCATCAGGCTGCATGTATGTGTGGGTGCACGTAGCACAGACACACAAAAATCCAGTGTTTTATACACACATAGAGAGCTGTACAAAATGGAACTTTTTCTGTACTCTGTTTTTCCTTGTCTAAATCTGAAATGTGTTACTGGAGTACATTCACATACATACTTCGTATTTACTCTAGAGACTCTCCGTAGAGCAATGTAAATACAAGCTAATACTGTTTAATTATTTAAGTAAGTTTTAATGAGACCAGAGTACATGAAAATACATGAAAATCTCAATGAGATTTACAGCCTGTTGTGTTTAAGACTGTTGAAGTTTTCTTGTGATTCAGAAGAAGGTTTCTGCACCAGGAAACAAATTTTGCTCGGTTGTACACCTGCTTGCCTATACACGGGACTTTTCATTTCCGACTTTAATACTCAATTCTGGGTGGTGGAAAGGTAAATTTTCCAGGCATTTGGAAAATGTGGGTTTGTTGGTTTTTGTTTGGTTGTCGGGGTTTTTTTTAATACTGTGGAACTGTTGCGCCCAAGTGGGTAGCATTTGAAAGCCACATTAGCAGCTGAGTTGGTTCTGTTACATCTCATTTTCAGCAGAAGGAGCTTATATGCAGTTAAATATTTTGTTTTAACACAGAGGTGTGGCCTATGGAGGGGACAGGTATCAACATGCAAGGATTCAGGCTGGACTGCAGAAGATGTCATATAGGAGCCATAATGCTCTAAGCCCAACAGTATTTGTGCTGGAAATGCACCGTAATTGCAGTTCGCCGTGCAGAGTTTTCCTGAGGCTGTGCATCCTGTACCTCCAGTATGACAGGGCTTCATCCCAGAAAGTGGAAAAGATCTCGACTTCCAGAGTTTTTTGCTGCAACTACTCACGAACTGGCATTTTTTATTTCCCCCGGTGTGCACTAACTTCCCTTCTGTTTTGCCACTGTAGTCTTTGCTCCCGTTTTTCACTCCAGTGCAGTAGTTTTACACTCTATTTCAAACAGGGATTAATAAGATACCCAGGGAAAAGCCTGTTGTTAGCTAAGGGTGCTTTGATCAGTTAATCTCTTTGTTTGGAGGGCTGTGTAAGAGCTACACAGCTCCTGTAAGAACTTCTTCCAAAACTGGTACAAATGGCAGTGGCTAACAAGCTTTGGCTGACCTGAGCAGTAAAGAAGGCACTTAGTTCTTTGAGCGATGTAAAGAATTAAACTGTGCTTGTCCAACACATCTGTTGTTAGGTGCCTAAAGGTCAGATTTTGTCACAAAAGTCTATCATTTTTTCCCCACATTTGTATGCTTCTTGCATTCATTTTTATAGTTTTGTATCCTTTGAAAATGAAACATTAAAACCTTTTCAAGATGCAACTGTATAGATTTCCATGAGACTGTTTAACTCTGTGCTGCTCCAGGTACCTGAATACTTCTGCAGGTTTCTGTCTGAAAAGACCTGGAGCAAAGGTGTCTCCAGTACAAAGAGTACATCCTTTGTACATATGAATGAGCATCCTTTTGTCTGTGTGAAGTAGCATCCTTTGCTTATTCAGGAAAGGATCAGAATTTGTATTACTTCCCGGATCTCAGAGAAGAATTTCCCTTTGCTTAAAAAAAAAAAAAAAAAAAAAGTGACATGTCCTTTTCACAGCCTGTTACTCAGTAATGAGCCTCATCTGATTTTTGCACGGCTAGCAAAATCCTGCTCCTTCATTCAACAGTAGTATCTGCTGTCTGGCTTTACAGTTCTCTAGTCAAGTCCAAAAGTCTAGACTTTGAAAGGGTTATGCATGGTTTTGTGTGATATTATTGAGATTTTTTTTCCCCAAGTCTGTAGGCTTTCCTTTTCATAGTAGAGTTTGTCTTTCTATGATGTTTCTGCAGAATGAGAAGCATTTTATGTCCCAAAGTATTTTTTTCCTAAAGCATTGTTAATGGCATCTGTTAATAAGCTGATGTCTTTAAACCACTGCATCTCTGTGTAAGTACATTGAAATATATTGCTAGCTGCAAGTCTTCTGGCAGTCTAACGCTTTTTCCAAATTCCATTATTGTTACAAAGCATACTCTGGTGAATGTCTTGCTTTTCCTCTTATGAGCCCTATAAGGATTCAGTCCTTTCCTGTGGGTGGGATCAAAGGGCTTTCACATCGGAACGGATCAGGGCACTTAACAAGATGCTGTCCATCAGAGGCTGTGCCATAACTCTGCAGGTTTATGCATCTTCCCTCATCCATTACTGGGCACAGTAAAGCAAGATAGCTTCTTTAGCTGAGAGAAAGGTTTCTGCACATTCCCTGGAAGGCTACAAGTGCACTCAGAAAGTTATAGGTAATGCTTGTGTGTAAAACCCAGTGTCGATGACAAGGCTGTTAGAGCAACTAGAATATGAAGGGCTCTGTTGAATCTGATCTAATGTTAATACAGCAGTTAAATCTTAACTGCCGTATTTTTCATCAGTTGTGAAGCAGAACGTAGCTGTATCCCAGATATGTGTTCAATTAGATTGCATCTGTGCATGAACCATAGTAAAACTGCCTCTTTTTACATGAGCACAGTTATGTGAATTAACTGTCCTATGTGTAAATGCATACTTAAACCTACACTGGGACTTTATTAATCTCCACTCAGCAGCGAGCTAATTTGAGACTAGTCAATAAGGTGATATTATATTTTACAATTGATTTTTTTTTTGGTCTTTTTTTTTCAAGTCATGTTAGAGGAACCTTCTTCGCTCTGCTTTCCAGCAAACTCCATTGATCCTTCTCAACCTAAACACTTAAAGTTCAATTTAACATTTAGGGAGTAAAAGGTCTCCAAAGGGACTCATATCCATTGATTTTGTGTCAGAGTTGAAGAGCTAAAGTTTAAAACACACTGAGCCTACAGGGTAAAGAAAGCCTTGTGTTGTGCAACCACATGGAGCTGTGTAAACTCATTCATCCCCTATTGTTTTTCTGTAGAGGTTACAATAAAAGCACTTAAAGAGAAAATCCGAGAATATGAACAGACCCTGAAGAACCAAGCGGAGAATATAGCCCTTGAAAAAGAACAGAAGTTACAAAATGATTTCGCAGAGAAGGAGAGGTGAGTGTGCATGTGTGTGTCTGCAGGTATCGTAGAGGAGGAGAGATGTATTTTTCTGTTTAATCTTCCCAGCCAGGACTCTCTCTTCAGTGTACTGAGACAGCTCATATATTGAGTGATTCTGGTGATTTATGTGTTTGACACGGAATCATTTGATACTCAACTTTGCACAGAAAAACAATTGTGAAAGTGTGGAAGTAAAACAAGGACAGATTGTTTCTTTGCGGTAGTGTTGGGGGGGGTGTCATGTTCAGAAGGGTGCAAACCTGCTTTTATTCTTCACTAGCTGTATTGTCCTTTGTGACACTAATCTTTCTCCGTTAGCCGACAGTGTAATTCAGTCTGCTGTGTCCACTTTGCGTGTCACAGTACCACTGTGTAATCTCTACAACCCTGAGCTGTTTAAGATGAAACGCTGTACCCAAGAGCTTGGGTAAAAGCTGCATCACCCCTGCTCCTATGGTAATGTCTGAGAGGGGATGTGTTCCTGAATTGTCCTGGAAAGGTTTGCATATTTCTGCATGTTGAAATTAAGAAGTACTTAAATTATTTGTTATTGATTTTGGAAGCATCTTGGATGCATTTCTTATCTCTTGCAAATGAGCAGGCAATATTTAAATCTTGTAGGTTAGTGGGCAAACAAATAGGGCAGGACAAGAGCAAGGGTCTTAAAAGGGAGTTCTTTCAGGCTGCATTCCCTACCTTGAGAATTTATTGCTTCCATGGGGCAATAACACTGAAGCTATAATATGTTCAACTTAGTGTGAAAGCCCTTCAGTTGATGTGAGCTTTTTAGTTGGTGGTTGGTTGTTTAAACTCAGGTCTGAGTGGGAAGAATCTATCACTGAATGCAAAGCTTTTTTTAATTCATCAATATCTGTGGTTACTTTTTTATAAGTAGCATGTAAGCAGTGGCTTTAATGGCTGCAATTTAGATAGGTTTAAAAAAAAATAAAAATGTCAGGTCATGGAACGCAAATAAAAGTGTGTCTAGACTTAGACAGGTGAACTGGCTGGATGGCCGGGTCCAGAGAGTTCTGGTAAACGGAGGTAAATCCAGTTGGCGGCCAGTCACAAGTGGTGTCCCCCAGGCCTCAGTGTTGGGGCCAGTTCTGGTTAACATCTTTATCAATGATTTGGACAAGGGAATCAAGTGCACCCTCAGTAAGTTTGCAGATGACACCAAATTGGGCTGGAGTGTCGATCTGCTCGAGAGTAGGGAGGCTCTGCAGAGGGACCTGGCCAGGCTGGATCCATGGGCCCAGGCCAATGGTGTGAGGTTCAACAAGGCCAAGGGCCGGGTCCTGCCCTGGGGTCACAACAGCCCCAGGCAACGCTACAGGCGTGGGGAAGAGTGGCTGGAAAGCTGCTTGGCAGAGAAATGCTGGGGTCAGGGTTGGGCCCCTCACTCCCAGAAGGACATGGAAGGGCTGCAATGTGTCCAGAGAAGGGGAACGAAGCTGGTGAGGGGTCTGGAGCCCAAGGCCGGTGGGGAGCGGCTGGGGGAGCTGGGGGTGTTCAGCCTGGAGAAGAGGAGGCTGAGGGGAGGCCTTCTCGCTCCCTACATCTGCCTGACAGGAGGGGGTGGCGGGTGGTCTCTACTCCCAGGTAACGGGTGATAAGACGAGGGGAAACGGCCTCAGGTTGTGCCAGGGGAGGCTTAGGTTGGACATTGGGAACTATTTTTTTACTGAAAGAGTTCTCAAGCATTGGAACTTGGGCTGCCCAGAGAGGTGGTGGAGTCCCCATCCCTGGAAGTGTTAAAAAAATGTGCAGACATGGCACTTCAAGACATGGTTTAGTAGGCATGGTGGTGTTGGATTGACAGTTGGACTTGATGATCTTGGGGGTCTTTTCCAACCTTAATGATACTATGATTCTATTCTATGATTCTAAGAGAGGTTTTGAGTTCTCAAAGTATATAATTTGGTATGAAGGGAACTGACATGTTTCTCACTATAAATAGTTCTTAACCTGGTCGACAGCATTGGAGAATAAATTTATGCACCCTATGGAGTGAAAGTAGGATGCTGGTAGTTTCATAAGCCATTTCACAATTCTGAAATCTGCAGAATGTCTTAAAACCAATGTCATAAAAAGCAGCAACTCCTGGGAGATGTTGGAGCAACTCCCTTTCAAAGATGAGTTTTGTAGCTCCTGTAATCTAGCCTTTAGCAAAGAGCATAGTGCCTGTATGGCCAGATGATGTTAAAATGTGTATAACTGACACAAAAAGAAAATATTGCCCGTGGACAGAAGAAATGTGAGCATATTTAAGGTTTGCTCATGTTATATAGAAAATATCAGTGTGAGATTTGTTTTGAAATATGTGTGTTTTTTTTAAAGAGTAGCTAATAGTATTACTGCATTTGGCATCTATTACAGCTATGATGAAACAGCTGCCGCATCTATTCGCTTCTATCAGTTATGGCAACAAATTTCTTCATTATGACAGTAAAATGGAAATGTATCATTCTTCTTGTACTAACTTTGTACAACAGAGGGTGCTTGGTGACAATTTTCTTAATGTGTGTGACATTTCCAAAACAAATTATGCTCAAGAAAACCTTCCACTAAAGTTGTCATTTATATAGCAGTCAACTCTTGTATAATGTTCACAGCTTATGTTATGAGGTGGCTACACTGTTAAAATTTTAATAAGTGGGACTGCAAAGTATGAACAGTATTGCAATGTGACATGATTTATGGGTCCCATTGAAGCACCTTGTAGTCTGTGTGGTGTTGTCAGTTGTCTGATTACAGTTGAGACATTTAATCACTCTCTCTTCCAAATTTGGAAAATACAAATAAGTTGTTTAACATGATTACGAGCTCTGTTCTCACCTCTTCTCTTCCCTTTATAGAAAATTGCAGGAGACACAGATGTCGACAGCCTCGAAGCTGGAAGAAGCCGAACACAAAGTTCAAGCTTTGCAAACAGGTCTGGCATTGCTATTCTGACCTATACCAATGATCAGGCTGGAGGCGAGAAGATAGAGATCATTAAATCTATCAGGACTGTGTGTGAACCAGCTCTTGCAAGTGCAGAGAGATCCAACAGAGCTTCTTTTGGGCTTCACACCTTAAGTGAGCACTTGCATTGCAGCCAGTCCATTGGTAAATACAGTGGACAAGGCTAAGCGTGAAGCGCGTACAGTATTAGAGCATTGCTGCAATGAAAGCAGGCCGTGGAACCTTTCATCCATGTTGTGTTTTGCTCTGGTTTCACACATTTCTGAACTATGATGAATACATGTAGTGATCTGGGTTCAGTATGAACCTGGTTTCTACCAGTGTGTCTTGCCTGTTGCTGTGATTTGCTTGCCATTAATTTTCATCCCTGCATACTTATAGGTTCCAGGTCTGGACACATTTGGTTTTGTTTACGATGAGAACACAAGAAATTTTATTCCCTGAATTACTGCAATAAATATTTCAAGTGAATAAGCCGTTTAGCCAGCTTAATAAGAAATTAATAATGTCTGGCTTTGTTAAGCAGAAAATGGGAATTTTTGCAATGTAAAAGAAATATCATAAGAAACTGTGAAAAATCAAAAGCTATGTTTTTTTAAAGTCATAATGGTTTGCCTAGGTAGAAAGATAAAGCAAAGAATTTTTCATCAGAAGATGTACAGCTTTATTTATGGCTGAATAAAAGAAAAAGGAGTAGTCTTTCTGCTTTTCACTGCTGTTATAGTGCTGTAATGCTTCATGTTTATGCCTTTTAGCCTTGGAAAAAACCAGGACAGAACTATTTGATCTGAAAACAAAATACGATGAAGAAACTACTGCAAAGTAAGAGTTCACTGTTTTTTTTCTATGTCTTCCTTCAGGGTATCACTGCTTTTTTGTTTTGCATCTGTCTGTTGGAGACAGACGAGATGGAAGAGGTTCAGGAGTCCAAATTTGTTAGAAAACATGGTCATAATTTGGCCTCCTATAGAGAGATGATTAGTTTTCATATTTTCTTCCACCCAACAAGACACTTTTCCTGGCACACATGCTGCTGCTGCATTCCTGGTTTCATTCTCAGTTGCTGCATCTACTGTGTATCTCTTATACTATATATCTCTATATCTCCTGTATTTTATTTAGAAGTGGGGCAATTTCAGAAATAAGATATTTACTGTGATCTTCCAGTCTCACTGAAAATAAAACGTAGTTTAGTAAAGGATTTCTATTTCACCGTTAGGCACCCTGGTTCTTTCTGGTTTTGGGGTAGCAGTCATCACTCTCAAATTTACCCCAAGTTACAGAGCATAGCATTTCTGGCAGATTTTTCTTCTTTTCAAATAGAACATGAAGGTAGTCTCAAAAATGTATATCCTTGGTTTCATAATGGCTACTGTTTCCAATTATCCCCTGGTTTTATTAACAATCAGTGCAAGAAACAACAAAAGGGAGACAGACTTCTGCTGTTTTTCTTTGAACCCTTCATATTTAAGGAAAGTTAGTAATGAGAAGGAATTCTCATGATCAGCAGTATTAAGCCCAAAGAGGCATTTCTGTGTCTGGAAATGGGATGGGAAAGAAGCAGCCATGTCAGATGGGTGTCCCTGGCCTGCTGTAAGGGTGAGGGTTGGAAGACGCACGTCACATCCCTGTGCCCATTACCCACGTCCCACAGAGCCCCAGCTTCACCCCGGCTTCCAAGTAGGCAGGTGATGGGGTGAATGGAGAGGAAAACCCTTGCTCCTGCCCTTACCACCCATTCTGGGACAGGAGACATGGTCAGGGAAGGCTCTTGGCAGTCTCTGTGTTGGGGCAAGAGAAACCATAGCCTAGGCTCGACGGGAGGAATGGCATGGTCTTGTTTTTGTCTGTAGGTAACTGCTTTCTGGCATGGCTTATGGCAGTCCAGATAATACAGGTTTTTCAAAAACAGTCAAATTGGCACCAAGTTTTAATTTCTTAGGGTGCAAATCTCTGAGCATTGAGGATCTGATTCCCCACTGAGTACATGGGGAACTTGGAGCTTAGAAAATTCAGTCCATGGTAGTTAAGGAACAGCGCTTGGAGCCGAAATACCTTTTACATCATTCAAGATAATATTTTAGGTAAATCTTGGTTTTGCTCTGTAAGTCCAGTTTTCTTTGAGTTCTGCATAAGGTGATCAAAAGTATTTTTGTTCCCTCATTGATTTCATCCTTCTCTAAGAGTCGCATACTAATGATGTTTCTGATGGAACCTTAAATTACTGCAGATTGCCTTTATTTTTTTTCCTGCACGTAACTGATGCTGGCAGCTCTGATGCTGTTATTTCGCCTTGCAGTCGCTTCTGCGGGAACAGTCAGAGATCAGGGCTCGGTGGTTGTAGGCACTGAACCTAATAACCCCTCACCCTTTTTAATGTTTTTATTTGCAGAGCGTTTGCTTCATTTTTTAATATTGTCTCCCTAAGTACTGTAATTTATCTTATACTGAGCAAAAGATGTACTCTAAAATGTTTGTTTGCATTTCTAATGTGTTTCATTCTTTCAGAGAGATTCACGCGGAAATATTTTCACATGATCTTGAATATGATTCTTACCTAATGTATATAGAATTACATAAAATTAGTAGCATCTGCAGTAACAAGAAGTTTATTGTGTTCTGTAGCAGAGTGATTATGAAGGCTGGGTTTGGAATATAGTGATCATGGAGCTGAATCCTGAAGCAGACATTAAACGTGTACTTTATCTCCCAAACTAATGTACTGTGAAAACAAACTTGTAGGACCTAATAACAGCAGAAATATTTTATCATTGTTTTGGATATTTACGGCAGGAATAGTTCTTGCATAACAACAATCATCTGTGGTGTTTGTAGCCCAAATTTTGCAATATGGAAATCTAGAAAAACATGAAAAGGGAGCTGAATGTAGACAGTGAAATTGAGTCATCTATTTTAATTGTAAAAGCTGGGAGAAATGTTGAAAAAACACCAATAAAAATGGTGAAAGACAGTTTGATTCTTTTCTAAAAAGAAATCCTCTTTTGATCTAAGTCTGAAAAGCTACTTGTATTGCCAATTTTAATTTTATGTTTTAAAAACATGTGATTTTTATCTTAGGCCAGAATTGTTAGCTTTACAGACGCTTATTTGATGCAGATGAATTGGAGTGCCTTCAGGAAAAAAAAGATAATTGTCAATTTTTTAAAGCTAACAGTGCTTTTAAGATTTTCAGTTTTGGAATAAAGCTGTCTTTCAACTGTTTGTAACTTTGAAAATCTTTCAAACAAACAAAAAAAAAAGGAGCAAAAGAAATACACAGTAAGAAGTGCTCAGTATCAGCATTAAGGAGTCTGGATTTTGTCCTAGTGACTGGTTGTTGTGATCTTGAAGTTGGAAATCGGTATGTCAACTTAGTTTTTTTATCTTTTCAAAATGCCCCCGTTTAACATGCTCCGTACAAAGTGAGGTACGGAGGTACCATCCGAACTTGATGCTAGCAGGGCATCTTTGAATGAGATCAGTTGCTAAAATTAAAATCTTCGGTCAAAGTAGCTTCTGTCATCCCAGTCTATAAAAATCCCCCGTCCCCTTCGCCAGTGAGCAGGTAACGCATGTTCGGGGGGAGCGGAGGTGCTGCCCGTGCCCCTTCCCCAGCCCCTGCGTCCCGCAGATACCCCGCGTGCTGGGCGCCGAAGGTGTTAATGGCACAAAGAAGTTCATTATGTGCAGTCATTGCAGTATGTCAGCTGGCATATCAGAAGCTGAATTTGACAAGATGGCAGCAGCAAAGTTTTCCATGTGTAGGCTTGAAGTAAAATGTAATTAGCCTTTATGTGCAGAACAAGGATCCATTGATGAATACAGCTGGTCTTTGTTTTCTTCTGTCATTGAGTGTGGGAGGTAAAAGTGTTCTTCTTCATGTTTATTAATACAAGATTCCTTAGACAAATGGCAAGCACAGTTTAATATTTGTTGGAACACAGAAGGGCTTGCCAAAACAGTTGTTGTGTAAGAGGATTTCAAGGTTTTCAGATTATAATCATCTCTGGGTTAAATAAATGAATGATTACTCTGCCTTTTTCAATTAAAGAGGCACATCCTCTCTTGAGGCCTGATACTGGTTTTGTTTGCTGTCCCACACATTTCTATCAGCAAACCTGGATTTAACCAACACTAATGAGCTTGATCTGGAGATTCTATCAGAGCTACAACTGAAAAGCAAACTCAGACTTGAGTTTCAGGAAAATTAAAGAATGTTGGGGGTTTTTTTCCTAGTGCACGAGACTTTTTTTTTTTTTTTTCTTCCTGCTCTGTAGAAAAAGAAACATCCTTGTATGCGTTTCTTTCATTTTCTGGGGACAAACTGTTCTCCTTGCTAACGTTGCTTTCACTTCAGGTTCGCTTCTGGTTCTCTCCAGAGTCCGAGCAAGGGTTCGGGATCTCCAGCTGAGCTGTTAAAGCTCCCAGCCGGAATGGTCGAATTCCAGTTTTAGATCAGCTCCAGAGCCACCTCTTTGCTCTGACCCTCCTCCCCCCCAACCTAAATGAATTCTAATTGGAAAAGGATCTTCGGTTGTAGCACATACAGTAGGCTTGTTACATTACTGTTAACATGTGGGCTGAGGCTCCCTGCCTTTGATGAAAGAAAATATCGAATTTCACTGAAATGCTGCATTTTCACTAGTAAATGTTAAGTAGTCTTGTGAGGATTTTAGGTGCTGCCCCCCCTTCCGCAATGAAAAGCCCTGATAAAGAACGCAAAGCAAAAGATGTTTAGGTTAAGGTTGTCAGTCAGAGCAGCTCTGCTACCAGTTTTGTTTCCTATTTGGTTTTTTGAAGGTGCAGACTTTTTGTTCTTCTAAAAAGTAGCGTTATGCATAGAAAATGCAGTGGAGGAGGAGGTTTTCATATTTACTAAAGGAGTCATCCTAAAACAACTACTTTCAATAACTTGTAAAAAAATATTTTGCCTTCCCATATATGAAGCAAAGAATTGTTGCCCTTTTATAATTAGACTGATTATTGTCTTTTTTGACAACACAGCTGAGGATGACACAGGAGGGCAAATGTACATGTACACTGGTGCAATATTGCAAATTACCTCACCATATAGATCCAGCTGACTGACTTTGATCCTGGACTGCATTTTAATGAAAACTGAATCTGGAAATGGACAACACACACTTAATGGAAGTGCAGTCTGTGAGCTGGCAGTCCCTGCTTTATGCTAAAGGAGAGTTTTTCATTGTTTTGGGGCCTGAACCTGTAAACTTGACTCACAGGATTTCAATATCAGTATTTAATACTTCTTTTCTTGCAGTGGTCATAGACCCTGGTCAGCGAGGCTGGGGAGATACTGGGGTGGGCACTGTGCACATATCTCTTACAAAGGCCATCTCTGCCCTAAAGAGCTTATGGCATGATATCATGACAACGAAAAAGAAGTTAATGAAACAAATAGGTGGAAGCTCAGGAGTGGGAGGACAAAGTAATGCCTATTTTCATCCCTAAATCCTGCTTGAAAATAAATCCTCAAGTAATCTGCACAAAGTCAGAGGTGGGTGACAGATGGGGAGTGCTGGGGCAGAGGCGGGCGATGGTGTCAGACAGGCAGGAGGGACAGCAGGGAGGTAAACAGCTCCTCCTGTTACCTGTACGCAAGCACAGGGCGCTCGAGTCTCCACTTGCAGGGAAGGGAAGAGGTTTTGTGGTTTATATGCCAAAAATACAGTAACAGAAGGGGATGCCTGTGGTTTTTGCCCGTTTGGGTGAAGGGTGCTTCTCTTCCTTACTCATCGAACAAACCTGTTCATTGGGCACCAGGCTAGAATAAAATGGTAAAGGTGTGGCTTTCTGCCTGG